GTCATTTTTGTGTTACACATGCCGGTTGCCATTGCTGCCATCTCACACTGTCTTGCTCACTCTTGCATGCATTTGCTCTATATAAGTCAAACAATTTTTAGAAACAATTAGTCATTTAAATACTTTATCTAAATACAAAACACTATCACACTAACACTTATCTAACACTTTAAAGCAATACATTTTGTGATTTCAATTCGACTCGATGTGAAATTTTTAGAATTTGTGACTCACCAGGAAATGAGTTACAGGCCTAAATTTGAAAAATCCTATTCACTAAAAAAACTATAAATAAATAAAGAGTTTTACACGAGTAAGACGAACTATTCCGTACGGTGGTAGATGCGTATTTTATTAAGCTAGTTCGAAATAATATTTGTTGGATTTTTCAAGCCTTTCTAGCAGCGTAAGGTTCGGCATGGAAATATTCGATAATTTAATAGCAGAAGTAATTTAATAGCCAGTGTGTCCATAACATATAGATATAGCACTAAATAATGTCGATATCTATACTGTATTACTGGCTCCCAAAAGTGTGTCGAAAATTATTTGTATCGCAAAACTAATATCATATTCGGTTTTCTCGTGTCACACTAGGTGTCTGCGGAAGAGTAATATGTCTGACGTTAATCTACTGGTAATACGAAAATCTAAAATTACATCGGTATGTTGTTTCTGACGTCTAATAGACGCGAATAGACGCAAAAAAGCACCCTAGTAATAAATTCATGTTGTGGATCACATTTTATTTCACGAGAAATGCATCGTTTTTTTTTTTTTTTTTTTTTTTTTTCAAAAATACGATGGGGTCACAATTCAAAATACGAAGAAAGAAAAGTTTCTTCTTTTTCAGTAACAAATGAATTAACCTCCCGAGATTGGTTCGGAGCAAATTCCAATCGAAATAAGTAACCCTAATATAGCAGCCAAATGACCCCTACTTATGTTTCTTATTTTCTTTTCAAAATATTATCTCACAAAGTTTCAAGAAATTTCAATACAAATAAGGAGTACCTTCCCATTTAACATTTTTGATTTTTGGCTCAAAAACAAAAATTTTGTACGAGAAGTACCCCATTTGCATTGCTATTTCTTCAAACTTTTAGAATTTTCGATATTCACATATTTCACCAATCCGGAGGATAAACTTCGATAAAAAAAAACTTCTTTTGGTCCAATCTAATAGACCACCGTGATTTAAAATAGACAAATAACATTTCAGGAAAATGAGTGAATTTAAAAGCAAAACAAATTGAATGTGAGATGTGAATATGAATTTGACGCATGCATTGAAAACAACAGAAAGAATGTATATTTTATTGTAGTTTGCACACATTCGTTTCCATTGCGATGATAGGCACTTAGCAATTCCGACTTGTTTGAACTAAACAAAAAATTTGGCTAATTATTCAAGATATTTATACTAATGAAGATAATTTCGATCGACAACTGATCATTTATGAATAACTCACATAGGGAAAGAAAGAGAGAGATAGGAATCGGGAAAATTCATTCTATTTCTCGAAAAAATGTCTATGATTCGTATGATAAATGATTATGCGTATAGTTTAAACCATTATTTCAGTCGTCATTTTACACAAAAAACTGGTAATAAATGATGTGTTTTAAATTAAAAAGAAATCCCTAAGATAATTGTATTCAGTAAATAATTCAAACAAATTGCATTAGCAATAATCTTCTTTTCGTGATTAACTCCATTTTTAGTGAATAAACCATTTTTTTGTTTTTATTTTTTCCTTTTTTGCCCATGGATCTATTCATTCGATCGCTAAATTACATACCAATTGTTATTCTATATTGTATCTCTCTTTTTACTACATCGAATCGAGTTTATGTTGTGTATTCTGTGCTAAATAACACTCAATTGGATTGACTCCCGCGGTTTTCTCTGTTAAAACTAAAAAAACTATAGTGCAAATCTTATAGCCTTTTAAGCGTAAAATTCTTTTATTATTGACTACTTGGAGAGTGTATGCATAAATGTTCAAATTTTTTGTCCACTTTTCGTAAGTTGACATAAACATCATCTGAATTTCAAAAGCGAAAATGGACAAAAAGCTATGAATTTCATACTATAGTATGAAAAAATTAATAAATATAAAACAAATAAACACGACGGAAGGTGCGTGTAATGATGTATGCTCTATTGTTCTTAAAATCTTAGAATGCGTGCCGAAACATATATACGTAGCAAAAAAACGTAGTCAGCTGTTTGCCGTGTGTGAATTTCTCTACACATTATGTACAAATTGAAATTAACCAAGAGAGAGAGAGAGAAAGAACGAAGAGAAAGAGAAAAAAAACAATAATATTATACGAAATTCGTTAACTCATTACTTGCCAATTTACCCAATTTTTTGTCTATATGTTTTGAAAAATATTTGATATGCATATGCTGTTTACATTACTCTCTCCTCTGCTGATATACAAGTATATATATGTAAGAGTAAGACGTAGCAAGTACGTAACATATATTACAGGAGAGAAAAGAGAGGAAACTAATTTACATCGTGACACACATAAACATCATTTCTCATGGACGTCACATGGATGCCGCTGAAGCATATATTTTTCAAAATTCATAGCATTGGGAAAATTTTTCTAGTTTGTAACAGTCATCGCATACGATACATAGAGTTTGAATTGTAATAAGCCGTTTGATTTCTAATAAGAAATTAGTTTTTGTTCAAATTTGATTGGAAATCAAAGAGTTTTTGTGATTTGTGTGGTTTATGATTTTACGTTAAGAAAAAATGAAGTAAGTATCTCAGTGCATGTCACCAGTACATTAATTTGATTTTATTACAAGAGAGAAAGTAAAGAAGAGAAAAAAATCAAATGAAAATTGTTTGAAATAGTAATATAAGTGAAATAATTGTTTAAAAAATGAAAGAAAGCGAAAAACTAAAGAATGAAAAGAAAATAAGATAGAAAGAAATCTCAATTGAATTTAATAATTAAGAATATTAATTCATTCAATTTTGTCTTTGCTCTCTTTAGTATTTAATCGAAAATTGTATACTTGAATTTTATTGAATAGTTTCAATCTACCATTCTTTGCTTCCTTTAGAATACATTGCACATAGTGGTTGTTTTTTTTAGCAACAAAAACGTAAACAAAGATTATCGTAGTACACGCTGTTCGTTGTGTTCATGAATGTGTGAGTGTGGTGTGTGTACTGTGTAGAAGTATATTTTCAAGTAAGCATTCACGTTCCGCGTGAAACACACACGATGAACGCTCGAACCGCTCATACACGTGTGTCACACATACGGAGTTCGTGTGTGAATAAAAACAATGAAATACAAATGATCATCGGTACATGACATAAATTTTAGCCAAAACAACGGAGCGCACGTTCTGTGTGATAATAATTTCATTGCATTGATAATTTTAAATGCGATTCGACTAATAGATTGGGATTTATTTACTTTTAAAATATTTTGAATTACACAACCGACACGCCAAAAAACTAAAACTAAATGATTTTAATTTATACGAGTACATAGTGTGAACTATTAATTGTATGGCTATTTAATAAATTATTGTTAAAACAAATTTATCATGCACAATTGCATTGTAGACTTGTATTTCAATGCCATATGATCGGTTTAATGTAAATGTTTTTTTAGTCAATTTCCGCAGTTTTGGGTAGATATTGAAACGGAGCTAGCCGAAAATCAAGACGACTTACTTCAAGTTAAATCAATTTTAACCGTTCTGGGTTTTTGTACGAAAACATCACTGGAGGTTTTAAAGAAATCGAAAAATATTGATAATATTGAGGGAGAGTATACGAAAATGCGGTCGATCAACCTGCAGGACATGTTGAATCAATTTCCAGTGTTGAAGAATGTGGATTATTTTACACCTGGCATGAAGGCCATCATAATGCATATCGGATCGCTTGTTACGAACAAAAGCATTGAAGATGTGGAAAAAATTATCAAATTTAAAGTTCTAAAACAAGCGAAAAAGGTATTTTAATGTCATATATACAAATTTTTATTTTCACTTTTTCGCTTTAAAGAATATTTATTTTTTTCTTGAAGATTTGTAGTAAATTGACAGACAAAAATATCATTTTCGATGTTGTTCTTTCTGGCGTTGTGTGTAAGATATCATGTCCGTATTGCAGTGCCGTTCAAACCCTATCAAAAACAACTGGAAATAACAATTACTCCGTTTATAACTTTTCAAGACACTATAGAACCGCACACAAAAATGTTTCGATTGGAAATACATTCGAATTAGACATGGACGATGTTAATGATAGTGCGATATTGTCTGGCAACAGCACAAGTATTCAAAATGACATCAATTTTGAATGTATGTTTCTTAAATTGTCTGTTTAAATTTCAATATTTTGAAATATGAAAATTATTTTATAGCTTGTAAAATTGAAGATCTCCAAAAGAAGATGAACGAATTGCGATTTGAAAATATCAAACTCGCTTCTGAGCGAAAAAATTTGCAAACCGAATTACACGAAGCAATTCAGCGATATAATACAAACTTAAATACTGAAAGTGAAAATATGAAGACTTTTGTAGCACAAAAGGGTAATTTTTTCAATTGTTTATTTCTTGGTGTAACTTTTAATATAATTAAATGACAAATTTCAGACGCTGAAATTATTGCTCTTAAGGCTCGAATTGACAATTTAATGGCCGAGATGGGTGCGAATAGCACTAGAGATGAAATATCAAATGATTTTGCGTTATTAAATATTGAAAGACCTCGCGAAAGTTATCTTATTAAGAAAGGTGAGTAGTTTTTTTTTTTTTTTTTTCTTTATAAAATTAACTATATCGAAGACAACGATTGGTTTTTATTTTATTTGGTTTATAGTGAACCGCCTGGAGATTGAAATCAGTTCTCTTATCAAGAAAAATGAAAAACTTAATGCTGAAATTAGCAGATATGAAGACGTTGTCTTAAAAGAAGAAAAAAGTCATGAAAATAGTTTGGTGAGAATGGAAAAATTGGAGAAAGCTGTATTTTCAGCATATCTTTGTTGCTTTAAAACTATTATCGATACAAGCATTACTATCAAATCTAATGATGTACAATTCAATGGTAAATATTAGGTTTTTATGAATACTGGACATTTTTAAATAAAGCGTTGTACCTTGTACTTATTTTCATATTTAAACAAAATAAAATTGTAGACTGTATGGGCCGCTCAGTTGACCTGTTTTTCAATCGTATTTACAATGGACCGAACGAAAATAAGTTCAATGATTTGAAGTATTATTTGGAGGCCTTTATTGAAGGAAAAACTGCATGCATTTTCAGTCATGGGTGCACCGGTAAGAGAGATTGTCTTTTCCTACATTGAAACTATTTGTTTGTTTGTTTGTTTTTTAAAGCAGAAATAATCTAGTAATATTTCATTATTAATTTTTTGTAAAGGAAGCGGTAAATCAATGACAATGTTCGGCGATGCGAATTCAGCGGGTATTTTAAAGGAAGCTGTCACGTATATTTTGGAAAATAAACCAGCATATGTTTCGGCCATAGAGTTAATGGGCACTTGCTATTATGATTTGTCCACTGGCAAAAAAGTGCAACTAAATAATATCGATGAACGAAGCAAAAACTATTTGGTTTCAGTTGATGACTTTGATCGTTTTTTGTTGAATGTTGTTAAGCTTCGGGCCCAAAAAGCAACAAATCAAAATATAACATCATCACGTTCCCATCTGATGTTTAAATTTAGCTTTGAAGTGGATGCAGGTGATTTGGCTTTCGTGGATCTCGCAGGCTGGGAGAGTCCGATCGGCAAAGATATCAATGAAACGAAATTCATCAACAGCACATTATCGCAACTCAACACAATGCTTATGAATGCTTCGAAGAACAATAAAATAATTGGCCAAACAAAATTGGATAAGCTATTCATGCCGTACATGTCACGAACGTCGAAAACATGCATGCTGTATCACATTTCAAATGATTCGGCTAAGAAAGGTCTCGAATTAATAAAAGATGTTGTTGCATCAAACAAACGTGGGCCATTAAAAAATATTACGAACATCCGAACATAGTATGTAATTGATTCTTGAGAATATTTTTTCAATGAAAATATAAAATAAAATTAACCATTTGATGTACACTTTTTAATTTAAACTCAAAGAGAAAAAGAAAGCAATTATATTTAAAATGTTTTATTCAATAAATCAATCGAATAGTTAAAAATTTAAACATTTGGATCCAAATGAAGATTCAACATATTTTGCCGAAATGTGGTTTCTTTGCGACATCTCTGTGCGTTAAGTTTTGACTTACAGTTTGAAATAACTCTTTCGCTTGCATCATTTATACATATTAAAGAGCTCTGGATGGTTTTTTTGGCTTTGTTATACTCAGCATTCCTGTTCCATGTACGAGCATCTGACCTCAAGAAACCGCTGGAAATATTCATCGTATCAAACAAAAATTGTGATCGATCACCTATTAGGTCTGAAACAGATTTTGAGCTCCAATCAAGATCTGGATCAGTAATCCCTTCACAATAGGCTATATCATTTCCATTGATGTTACGTAAAGGCGTTTCATTCTCTTGTGCGCTTAATAGTTTAGTTGAAATCTTATTTTTCTCTTCAGCTGATACTTTATCAGAAAACAAGGATAACGGTGCAAGCTCATGACCCATATAACAAAGATGTCGATTTAAAGCTAACGTTGCAACCTTGGCAATTGGTTCATCAAATAGCTGATATGTTTGAAGTTCTTGGAGAAAGTCTAAATCATTTACAGGCGCATCGAATAAACTAACACATCTATTCCAAAATCTAATATAGATGAGTGAAGCGAATGTTGTGAATCTTATTAAGTTATTTTTGAACTGTTGAAGTTCTCGCGTGTTCCATTCGAAATTTCTTCTGAACAAATATAGCTGTATACTTTGAATGATGGTGGCCATAAAACGAGCATGACTTGGATTGATTAGAGTGCGGAATTTGACCTGATTTGATTTTGTGAGCCTTTTATTTTCTCCAAAAAATTTTAAAGCAAGTAATGTTACTTCTCTATAATCATCTCGGATGTGCTTGCTACTTGAATGCTTTCGAAGATCATCTAATGCACGAGTTTTTAGCCTTTCAAATAATTGACGCGTTGCTGCATTCATGCCGTCTCCAATGAAAGAATCTTCATTAAATGGCGTAAATGGAAATTCAGCTTCACGCAAATCTGCCCATTCTTCCTTCAGCATTGTATAAAATATATTGTTAGGTGCATCTGAGCCAAAAAGGTAGAAATAAACGTCTTTTACAACGATTTCCAGAATGTGATGTCTGCACATCAAACGTAGAAGATATTTTTCAAGTGATGCCTCTAGTTGAACGCAAGTTCCTCCATGGATTCCAATATTAACTACTTCATTGTCACATACTATGGCAACAATTTGGACGTTCTGAATTCCGAATTCATCACATGTCTCTAGTATAGCGGATGTTTGCGAATTAGCGGCTTTATTGGGCATTTCTGGCATTCCAATCACTTTGTGCTTATTGTTTGAGTACCATACAATAGCTACACGGTGTGTGTTCCCTTCAAATTTGCCAGTAATTCTTCTTGTATTTTGATGGTCAAAGCAAATTGAACCGTATGAAATATCTTCTCGAATTTGCTCTTGATATTTAATCTCTTTCTCTTGTAAAAATCGTTGATACTGTTTATATAAATATGAGGGCGATATATGATAACGATTTTCAGTATTGACTGAAGCATAAGCGAGGTTCAAAACTTTTGACAACGACCGAAATGACACACCCGTTCCAAACATTTGCCACAATATTTCTTTTGGAATATGCTCTTTTTGAAGTTGTCCACCTTCAAAATTGGGGTCAGATGAATCGGTTCGATTATTATCTAATTAAAATAAGAAAAAATCTTATTTTACATTGAAATTTCAAAAGTAATTTTCAAAAAAGCTGAGGTTTTCCATAAATATAACATTATATCATGTATATATAATTTTTGTTCAACAGACGTACCATTTTGTTGAACAAATTCATTATCGAAATTCATAGCACTAGCACTGGAATTGCCAAACAATTGTACATTACCTAAAAATTCAAAAAATAACATTTGGTTTTAGCCGTTCGAAACGCGATTGACAATTACAAAACACTATATCAATTTAAATACCATTATATTCACTTGTATTGTTGAGATAAACAGCTTCATTTAGTTCAACTAAGAGGTCATCAGGACCTTCAGGTATTTCAATCGTATTATTTGTCGGAATTATTCTACGAATTTCAAAGATTTCTTCAAGTTTCGCTCGAAAGTTCATTTCGTCTTCGATGTTTTCAGCAGTTCTGGTTGATTTCGATTTAAATTTTAAAATTTTTCTAAATTCCAAAATGCACTTATTAATCTTTTTTTTAATGGTCAGTTCACTTAGAGTTGGTATATTGGCTCCTTCATAAACCCTCATCAGCGCTTTAGCTACAAAGCTTTCTTTTGTAGAATCACTCCCTCTCTTTCCCCAAAAATTTATGTACAAACGCAAGACATCTTGAAGTGTTGGTAATACATTATCAGGAAATTGTTCAATTGGACCTCCACCCAATAGGTATTCAAAACTCGACATTTTACAAATATTTCATGTGAATTACATTGAACAAGTTTGAATTATGACAAGAAACGTATGGCCAACTTACCGATAATAGCCGATAAGGTAAAAGGTATAAGTAATAGTATATTTAAAAAAGTAAGCCAAGACTTTTTTCAGAAATAAGCATTTTTATTGAAAAGATTCAAATTTGTCACAAATAAATATTTGGCGCTTTTGTATTTGAAGGGAAACATTATACCAACTAACGATAGTTACACGGTGAACACGAAATAATGCATGCTTCTATTAATTTAATTCGCTAAAATCTGATTTATTTATCAAAATTTTCATTTTTCATGGGTTTTCACTCCAAAAATACCTTCACATGATAAGGTAAAAGATTTATTTTCATTTAATTGGTGTTATTTCGGACTTTCATTGCAATTTTTGAAATCACATTGGGAATAACATGCAAAATTTCAATAAAATGAATGAAAAAAATTCATCATAATTGTGAGAGTATCACCGAATGAGAGATTCCATTCGTTTGTTGCTTCATAATCATCGAGAAAGAGAAAAGAAATAGTAGTTGTTGCCATTTCACAATGTTTTCCATTGAAGATGCCAATAATTTTCATTTTTATTTGCCGTGTGTTTGCCGCCAGCATATTTAGAAATTAAGCGTCCAAATTAAAATGGTATTCGAATATTAGGCAGCTATACCAACACCTTTTTTACACTATTGTACCCATCTTGCGATCATATTTCCAGGCACTCATTTAGAAAAATATGGATGCAAAATTCAGAGTAATGATCTTAATTAGAAGCTCAAATCAACTTCGGTTTTTATAAAACAATAATAAATTGTGGCCTATTTAATTGATGAACTAATTCTACTATTGAAAAATCTATGTAACGAATTCATTAAAAGAAAACCCCGGAGTTCAGCCATTTCTTTATTGGCTAATTTAATCTTCCTGTAAATATCGTTCAAGACAGTAAACTCCTTCCCAGTTCAAAATGCAGCAATTTCAGTGGTATAAATGCATCATTTTCTTTAGCGCGGTAATGGCTGGAATGAAATCCTTCGATAAAATTATATTAATTAGATGAAGAGTGCATAACCGTTCCTTTTAATCAAATATTTTCTGAATAGATCTGGACGATGATTTGGACAATCAATCAAATGAGAAATATACCATTTTTGGTACAGAAACAAAAGAATCCAGACGATGTCAATAAAAGACCCAAAGTAGACGAGATTGTATCGAATTATAAACGGCCGCCAACAAATCGATTCGCTTCAGTGGCAACAAAGAACACCAACCTATACGCAAAAAGTTACAAATTCGATTATGAAAATACACGATATCCACTTTAATTCGAACAAAATCCATATATAAATGCGTAATTTCGTATTATATTTAGGTTCTACATTTTAAATCGTTAAACTGAATTAAATGTTAACAGTTTAAAGATTAAAATCTTGAATCCAATCAATTTGTTGTGTTTTTTCTGCGGAGAAATAAAAGTCATCAAATGTAATGCACACGAATACACAATTGAACCGAATAAAAAAACTTATTAGAAACGTCAAAACAAACAACCGCAACAAGCGCATGCTACCGTGACTCACGAATGTGTAATTGTGTATGTAATAAAGTGACATATATTTGTATTGGTATTTCACTCTGACGTTTTCAAAAGTTTTCAATGTTTCAGAGATATTGTTTTGATCACGTCATTCGAGTTGAATTGTGTATTTGTGTATTGTATTTATTGAATTTTATTTTAAAAAAAGCAAACAATTGATTTGGTACCAGATTTTAATCTCTTAAATTGTTAGAATTTAATTCAGTTTAATAGTTTAAAATTTAAAACTCGATCGAAGATTGCTTTCGAAATCCTTTCAAATTTATATTGTCTTTTTTTTTAAATGAGGTTATGTG